GAAAAATTTTGGCTTTCAAAAAAAAAAAAAAAAAAAAAAGTAGTGGTAGTAGTCTCATGCAGTCCTGAATTTCTAAAAATTTCAAGTCTTTGACCCTTAAAGATACTAAGTATGACTTTGTGTTGACCAACCTGTAGTGCCTGCTGTGAAATTCTTTGAATCCTTTGTTCTTTGATATTGCTTTCAGAAGGATTCAGGGTGCATTGCACAGTCACACATATGAAGTGATGAGACTATCTATCGAACTACTAACAACTTTCTCAAGTTTCAAATCTTTTCTTGGCAAACATAATTTCTTTTAAAGGTCTTACATGAACCGTTCATTACCTTCTTAACATTAAATACCATTTCAAACAATCCTAATCAAACATCCTTTGCACTGTATCATTGCATAATATGAAACATGAAGTCAGCTATTTCATATTTCTCCTTCATTATAAGTGCAGCCAGTAAAGACTTTCCATATGTGTAGATATCTGCATGCTAAATAGCAAGAAAAACAGATTATTTCTTTGCTTGAATAAAAGAAAAGCAATAGCTCTATTATCAGAGGCAGGCTGAGTGATAGCTTTATTTGGATTCCAGTCTATTAGTTCATCTCCATGAATGACCAATTATGATTCATCTTTCCAAATAGCAGTTATTTCATAAATCCTGCCAGAGAGCACAGCAGTGGAACTGAAAAGCTGTCATGGAGCTCTGCCAATAAAGGCACTGATGCAGTTACAATATATCTGCACATAATTTAATCCCCTTGTTGCATGTATTGAAGGCATGCATTCCAGTACTCTCACATTTAAAATCCTTTAATTAAGGATGCTACTCCTTGTCTCTTGCATATATTTAGAGTTCTAAAGAGGTGCTGTTTTTAAAGTATTCAAGGGATTTAATTGGACCCTTCATAGCATATAGTAAAAGTTAGCTTTTCTCTTCAGAGACCTTTAGTTTTTGCGACATAAGATGTTTATTTTACTTAGTCATTATGATAACAGGTGCTGAAGTTCTGGGATCTCCTCTTTCTCCAAGTTAACATTTAATAATTTTCTTTCCACACTTGCTTTTGCAACCTCTGTCTGTTACAGAAAGCGATTCCTTGGTTTGTCTTTACAATCAGACCCCAGGCACCCTCAACTGAGTATTTGCTTCCTTTTTTTCCGCTGGCTGAAAGGGCAGTATTGGTAATAGCAGAGTTAATTGACCAGTGAAATCTTTTTCTGCTTATGCTCTGTAGGAAAGGTAATTTCATAACTTTGAAAATACACTTTTGGGTAAGTGACAACATGCATGGCAAAGACTGTAATGGTAAAGTTGGACTTTTATGGATAATGTTAGAGAGTGAAATGCCGATCTTTTGAAATGCTTTCAGCATTTCTGGAAATTAGTCCAATAATTTCACTTTGGGGCAAATATGCAAAGCATACTTGTCAGTTTTCCATGATGATTTTTCATCATTTTCTTTCCATTCACATTCCAAATAATCCTTGAACTGTTACAAGGCAATAGTAGTGATAATACTAGTCAAACTGCATTTTGCTTCCTTAAGAGAGGCTATCATTTTGCCCTCTTAAAAAAGCTATGTAAAAGTGAAAATAAATAATACCTTTGGTTTCACAGGAGGCATTGCACGTCATACCGTAAAGCTGTCTAGGCATGTCTACCATTCTGACAACTGAAACTTGCCATAGAAAGTTTTGCACTTGTCTCTTATGAGTCTGAAGATGTATGAATGAGAAAATGATCCTAATCCTTCCTTTCATATATCCTCTGCCATAACAACTTTTTCTGTGTAGTATGTGGGGAAAAAACACTTTCATATTCCTGGCAGTGTCCTGAAAGAAATGGAAACGTCAGTGTTCTCCAGCATTTGCAGAAGATCCCCTATTGTCTCAGGACCCAATATGCTGCAGTCTGCTATTGCTACAGCGTGGTAGCATATACCACTGTTCAAACATGTTCACAGTATCAGGAAGCAAATTGAGCAATTGAAAATGTGCTCATCATTGTGAGTTAGAAGTCTATGTTTGCATACCATTTTTTCAAATCCGAAAGGTTAAATGCATTTGAGCATGAAAAAAATGTCAGAAATAAAAAGCAGAAGGGCTGCCTTATTAAAGAAGAAAGTTTAGGTTAAGAAAAAGAATGTTATAAGAAAGAAACCTTCATAACACTGCAACATCATGAAAACTGAACTGGAAATAGTCAAATAATCAGTTCATAAGCAATCCACAGTCTTGTTAGGTTACACAATACTTACAGTGAAAAGGATTGAGAGAAAATAACTGGGAAAAAATAGTTTGTATTTCTCACCAAAAGTTATTGATTGAAAACCTGAATTATTCAATATGAATAGGCCGATCAGCACTCATCTCAAAGATGCATGGACCTTAATCTACTGAAAATTATAGCAAGATTCACTTTTCTTTCAGTAGGATGAGAATCTGGCCTAAGAGGATCTAATGGTTTGCTATCCCATTGTTCAAAACTCAATATTTTAGCTCTGTAAAGGCTAAATATTTGGGCTTAGTTTCCACATATCAGACACAGTATATGCCGCTACATGTGGAGTAAGAAGTTAAAATCCAAATGTTACCTTTATTTAATGGCGAACAGTAAAGTTACAAAAAGAACAGCTAGTGAACATAGAAGACAACTTGTCAAACTTCATCAAATTTTTTATTGAAGTAGATCTCTCATTACTGTTATTTCAAGTGACTTGGTGTTTCTGAAGGAATATACTGTGATACTTTGCAACACAATTGCAGATGATGTTATCAGGCTTCACTTAGCGAGATTTAATGGAACAGTACCTTTCTCTTAGCTTTGAGCTGCTCGTGATATTTGTCGGATGTGTCGCCTGGTATTTCTCCTCCCCAGAGGGTAATTCCCACTATGGAATAAGTGATGCCCATGACAAGCAGTGGAAAGCAGTAGACCAGCACAATCACAATGACATGATACCTGCAATGAAAAAGCATTAAGCTGATAAGTGCTTTCAGAGGAGCTATACCAATGGAATGGACTGCTAGAAGTCAAGAGTGCTGCTGTAGCACAAAGCATGTTTTATATTGACTGGCTAGTCCTTGGCGTTTTCACTGTCTTTTTGAAAGTCTTGAATCGCACTGCAAATTTATTTACATTTTAATGCCAGTGCTTTATGGGGTTTCTAGTTCTGATTCTGAACTTGCACTAGCATAAATTAAGAATGACTCTATAATTATCATGATCAGTGACTGCAGAGTAAGGTATGTTTCTCCATAGCTAGCTGAATTGATTTAATTATTGCACAGCCAAGTATCCTAAGGGCAAGCTAGGCATTTTGAGCTCTAGTCTGGACCATAAATGAAAGAGGAGAATAAGTATTTAAATGGTATATTTATACAAAGGCCTTGATAAGTGTCCTGTGTTACCCAACGTACTTCATATGGCAGATCTGTTGCACATAGGCAACACAGATCTGTTGCCTATGTGCAACATAGTCATCAATGCTGATGTAAGCACTGGGAAAAAAAACCCAAAACTTCTTTTGCCTCCTGTTAGTTCCTGGTTAAATGCCATCTTCGGATAAAATCGCAGTGAATGATCAATGAAGAATCCCCAGCCGTCACTGAGAGTGACCTTACTGCCCTAAAGAGAAATATCCGTGCATGGCTCCTAAAGTGATAAAAATTATGTATGACCAGGGCCTCTTTCACCTGCCTGAAAGACAGCAAAAGGTCAAATTTGATGCTGGATGGTTACACAGGCTTTCAGCCTTGAAAACAGAGTTCACCTTAAATGCCAATGAAGACATGAAAGGGCAGATAATATTTCTATAGCTAGGCAACCACTTATTCCTAATTCTGTCAAAGGGACAAATAGGATATATTCAATTTAATTGACTGTTATTCTACACTTTCAGAAACTGGAACCAGTTATAGGTTTTATGGTTTTATTATTTGGACTGATACATGAGATAAGTAATTGTGATAGTGTAACAGAACGAAGTAGGAAAATCCAACCCTCTCATGAAGAGATCCAGAGAAAAAATCTGATTAGGACAAGGAGAGGCTAGAAATACTCGTTTTTCTGGTTAGGATGAAAAGGAAGCTTGCTTTGCATTGCATGTTCTGTCCCCATTTCTGACCATCTCTGTCTGTATGGAAGTGGCCATCTTAAGTGAAGCAAAGATGGTAAACATGCAGCATGGGATGGAGAACACTCGTAGAAGTGGAAGAGAATAAATGTGTTCCACTTATCACTTAAAATGCTCTATCTTCCTAGCTTAGAAAACTTGTTTCACATTTCTCAGTGATCAATGCTGTTAGTTATTCTGCATGCAGAGTACCTGTGTGATACTCTAGAGCTTTTGCCAAGTCCATTGCAAGTATAGACACCACCATGCACAAGTTTAAAAGAACAAAAGCTTACGTAAAATGCTGTTTTGGACCACCTGGCCATGCTACATAGCAAAGAGTTCTCCCAGGCATCACCTTGGTTTACATTTCTCAATGATCAATGCTGTTAGTTATTCTGCATGCAGAGTACCTGTGTGATACTCTAGAGCTTTTGCCAAGTCCATTGCAAGTATAGACACCACCATGCACAAGTTTAAAAGAACAAAAGCTTACGTAAAATGCTGTTTTGGACCACCTGGCCATGCTACATAGCAAAGAGTTCTCCCAGGCATCACCTTGGTTATGGAGTATAGGCACTGGGGAAAGGCCAACAGGAAAGCCAAAATCCATATGCTCCCAATGACCACCTTGGTAGCAGTTGCAGAGAGCCTAGGTTTCAAAGGATCAATAATGGCCATGTATCTGTAAAAGAAAGCAAAAACCTGTGCATAAGAAACCTTCAGAGATTAGGATGTATCTAGAATCAACCAAAACTTAGGGTTGGGAGAAGGATAAAAGCAGAGATATTTGTCTTCCTGGAGTTCTGATGGCAGTGTGCTCTTTGGGTGGTTCAGCCCCCATGAAGGCAGTGCTGGAAGAAAAAGAAGGTTCATTGAATATTATTTTAAAGCTGTGGGACACCCGGTTAACCATATGTATACCAGTAGAGCAACTATTTGTCAAAGAGTTAGTTAATCCTGTTATTGCACAACCTGATTAAAAAGCAACAATACAGCCGGATCCTCTGTTACTCTGCTACATAATACAGGGTTTACCTCTGATTAAAAAATTAACAGCCAAGCTGTCAGGATTATTAGTCATCTGTCCAAAAGCTACAGCAACCTGATAAGTCCGCATGCCTTTATTTCAGTAGACATAGACTGACTTCGGACTGTCTGCCAAAGAGCCCCAGACTACAACCGGTTCATACAGAGGCTGAGAGAGGAACCATATGAGCGTTTCCTCGGGCAATGTAGAAGCGATAAAAGCACCAAGAGAAATAGATGCATAAAGCATGAAAACATCTCATTTGCTTTCTCAGTTCCCGTGTTCTCAGGTGGGATAACAGTCTTCTTGCTGCCCTATAATTGCATTGGCAATCCATGTATGCCGATAACTTTAGAATAACATGCAAAAAATCATTAAAAAGTTTACTCTAAGTAATTACAATTTAAAAGCTTAGGAAAAAAGCGCGACAGGAAGGCATCAAGACAGACAGTAAAAGAAAAACAAGTCTTGTTTTCTGTCTTTTGATCTCTGTTATAGATGCAAGGAACAAGGGAGACAGAAATTTTGTATTTTGTATACTCCATATCACATACTTCATGCGTTTTTCACATTTTTCTTAGCGTGACTGCTGCTTTGATTTCTGGGCTAACCGCTGAATTAACGTATTTTCCACCAACTTCCCTGATCACGCTATTTTGTTTCATTTAACAATGACCAAATAATGACTTGCAAAATCATTAATCGTATTAATTAAATAGGAACACTATTCAAAATTTCTTCCACTGTAAGGGGAACGCTGATAAGTATCAGCCAGAATCACATTTAAAGAAATTTTTGTACTTCTGTAAATCCAGGGAGATACTGGCTATATGTATATCCATAATGTGTTACTGATATAGCATACTGAATAACTAACTACATGTTCTTTAATCAGACATCCTATGTTTTCCAAAACAACACAAGGAAATGGTTGTTACCTTAATATTTCGGTTCAGATCCAGAGGGTTCCCAAAGTACATTAAAACCCCCTTTTATTCATGATTGAAACACAATGCTGTTCGTGAGTTAATGTGGGAGTTAACGGATCAGCAATTTAAATCAAGAAATTTCCATGGAAGTATTCAGTGTATCTGTGCTTATTCAGGAAACCAAAGATCTGCCCTTCTGCAGTCATTGGTAGCATTGACATTCTACACTGTGTTTCCCAAACCATTGCTTTTCTGAAATCAGAATTAGAATAGCAATGATTTAGAAGCTACTCAGGAATAACCAGGGCAAGCCAAAAGGAAACTAACAAAATTAAAATATTCTTTTCTGTGTTTCCTTGTGGTTTTTTTGTTTTCATATTCTATGAAAACACCAGAAGCAGATAGAAAACTGGGATGAATATGAAAACCAGCTTGAATGTTTTACTAATGAAAGTTTTCCAGATTTCTAGGACAATGTCTGGATCAGTTTCAACAGTTTGTCATCAGTCCCAGGGATTAGTACTAATTCTGGAAGAAGCAAACTCATTGCCAAAGAATAATTATGGCCCATATACTTTCATTTTCTTCACAGTACACATGTCCAGTTATCTGATCAACTTTGACGAGATTATTGGAGTGTATCTGTAATTTCGTAAAGGTCCTCTTTGTTTCCATTGTAGGTCGCCAGCCTTCATGCCTGGTAACTGCCCTTGTCCCTCTCTGTTTCAGGTTTTAAATACAGTTAGAAAGTCACACCACGCCTATTCCAGCCTACATGTGTAGAGAAAATATTTTCAGAACTTTCCAGTATTGCTTCCCTCCTTGTGTCATTTGTACCTTCTAAAGGAATTGCAATAAGTAAAATAGGTACTATGGCTCTTCACCTACTCTTTCTCTACATTTCTACCTCATATAAAGATGGATTGGGATAGATTCAGAGACTATTTTTGTATGGAAAATTACATAGGCAGTAATAGGCATTGTATGGCAGGACTGTGGAAAAAAATCACTTTGTCTCATCAGCATTTGTAGATTTTGTGCTATTGTTGAGACTTTAGGTGTTGCTGTGGGGCTTAGAAGTTATAAAATCAGTTTGGTTTACACTCACAGAGAATGAATTATTTTGTAGGTAAGCAAGCATAAATTAGTAGATCCTATTCCAAAGTGACACTAATATGTGATTATTGTTATTTTTCTTGTCTATGTTTGTCCTTTCGACATTCATAGATAAAAAAATTTCAAAGACATTCATAATGTTTACTTTTTGTGTTCTCATCTTCTGCCTTGGCTTTAGATCACGAGAACCGTTAGGTGACTGCTTGGGTATGTGCTTCCAAATCCAGGCAGGATTTGAATTGAAATCCATTGAAATCAATGGATAAGCTGCCACCGATTTGAATCAATCCTTTTTTTGATGAATAATTTCTGTTCTGCTGCAATTAGAAGAGTAGCACTCATTTAAAATGAAGGAAGGTACGACATGTCCTAATTGTTACAGTACACACCTAGGTTCTAGGCAGACTTGCCCAAGATTTTTAGGTACAGACATTATCTACAAGACAATTAGAAAAATATTAATAAGATAATACTTCTGATAAGAATTTGTGCAAGTAATCTTCTGCATCATATTTATCTGCTATGGCAAACAAATTTCATCCAAGATATTCCTACTTTTTGGAAATGTCATTCTTGAGAGATGGGTAATTATAGAATAGATATTTGTTTTAGCAAAAATAACTCAATGTATAGATAACCACCAAATATGTGATAAATCCAACATCTGCCATCATAGTGGTACTCAGCCTCTAGTAGACATGATAACTGTGCTAATAACTTAAAACATCTAAATGCTGTTAGAAACAGTGATCTAAAACAACTTCAGTTATGAATCATCAATTTCCACATCGAGAATATCAAGCCTATTAATTTTGCATTGTTTTTACTGCACTTACATATTTTTTCCCACAGGGAAATTAGTTCCTCTCTCCTTTACCTGCTTTTTGTTTTTTTTCAGCTAAACTGGTGCTTTTGGTATTACATACTAACTATGAAATGGCTTTATTCAAGTGCTGGGTATCTTGTCCTGAGAAAGCAGCAGATCTCATGAAAATGTACATCGGTTGGATTGTTGCACTCTACCTCCTAGTTCCCTTCTCCTCCAAAGAGTAAGTACAACTTGGTAATGAAGGTAAGTTTGGAGTCCTGTCTTTCAAATTGAGCTAGCTTGAGCATGGGCTGCCAGATACTGTCCAAAATGCTTGATGATCTTTACCTGTAGTAGGTGATAACCAATAAACAAGTCATCATTTTCACATGCTCGTGGGAGTCTTAAAGCATCTCCTCCTAGCCTGGAATCATTCCTTTCAATTGCTAGTTTTCTTCAGATTGCACATTGACATTATTTTGTGTGCTATTGTCAGATTTCTATTACATTCACATTGTTCTTATTCCCAATAGGTACCAGCAGTAATTCCCTTTGGCTAAGGTAAGGTTCTGTTGTTTTATCACACTGTCTGGTGACTGCCCATTAAAGATGTGGATTGTTTGTGTGAAATGACTCATACAGCTGTACCGATGGAAATGTTAACTATTGGCTGTCTGAGTGAGGTAAGTCAAAGGACAAGGATCAGATGAAAAGCAGGCTACTTGTCTTTCTGGTTGAAATTTGAGTGATAAGCCAACAGCCTAGCTTTTGCACAAAACAGATTACAAAAATGTAGCAGGCAGTCATTCTAACAAACAAGATGGGGAGGAGCTGGAGGAGCCTTGACCATTCCCTCAATAATGCCTTCGTGCAGGAAGGACTTAGCTGACCAGAGAGTATTGACAGCTCTTTACTACTGAGCCTTTGATAACAAATCTAATTTATTCTAATTTGCCAGTACACTAACAATTACAATGAAGTATCTAACTTGTTCCTTAAGTGGCTTTTCTTAGAAACAAAATTGCTTAATTAACACAGTGAGATATTGCTTTATAGCTGCAATTGTTACACTCACTCAAATTTGTCTTATAAGTTTGGTAGCATTTTCCTAGAGAAGCCATCATTGCCATAATTAAGGATAGTGGAAAATGTGGAATGACTCTCAGTTGCAGGTTAAAAAACACCTCTGTAGTTGAGCTGTTTCTGGGTGTTAATCTCTGTAGCCAAAAGAAGCCCAGAAGAGAACTGAGTCCTTCCTGCACTGTTAGCGGTCATTTGCAAAGGAGGCTTAGCCACTCCTGCCCATAATATTGTTTGCTGAAAATGTCATCTTGCCATTACTGGTACCTAAGTGTGGTGGAGTTGTTTGTCTATCTCTTTAGCCTCAACCTGAAGGAGCAGTAGCTAATTTTTCAGTTGGCCCTTGCCTTTGATCTCTGTCCATTTTGGCCAGGGTGTTTCCATCAGGAAGGAAAGCTCCTGCTAGCACAGGCTAGAGGTTCCATGCTTAGTTGTTGCTCAGAAAATTAGTGAGGTGAGGAGGCTAAGTATGGGATAATGTGTATGTATGATGCAGGATATTGTCCCTGTATGTTCCAGTTACCCACAGCTGACAACTGTTTGTCGTCTTTCATGGTGTAGCTCTGTCATTAGGGGTCATTTTCTTACTCTGTTTGATACCCTTACGTATATTTTGTGTGGCAAAGTGCCAGTTACAAGGGGGACCAGCAGACATGCTGTTGAAGAATATCTTAAGTTTTACTGAATCTTTAGGTTGTGAAATAATCAACTATAAGAACATT